AGAAGATGCTGTGTAATTTTTGATATAATAAATCACATGCCGAGTCGATGTCAGTACATTCAGAAACGTCACACCATTCGGTTGTTCTGATTAGTTCATACATAGCTGGAAAGTAGGCATTGCGAAAATTAAATTGCTTAATAGCATCTGTTGTATTAATAGCAAAGTCATTGATATGAGGAGTACGCCAGTTCAACGAAATAGAAAGTACAGGATGATGCATGTCTATGTTAACAAAAGGTTGATCACATTTCGACACGATACAATCATCACAATTGGTTATAACTAGATCCAGTTTTTATTAATATTCGTTATCGAGTTGTACTGTTGAGATTCAGTTGCTTGCATGAAGTTGAAGATATATTGAAATTTAGTATTATTGAAGTCTATATCATATTTAGGGATATTGAAGTCACCAACTAATAGAAATGATGATTCCGTCAGTCCATATTTTCAATTATAAACAAAAATTTTTCTCACTGAGAGTCAGTTATTAAACTGGCATACACGAGTCAAGTGGCATGTTCACTAACCGTTTCGATAATGAACAATGCTCTGGAAATTATCGTTCACAGTCAATTACTATCATGCTCCGTATATCTCTTGTTATTGTCAATTTGCGCCTCTCCTACAGTACTGCATACTTCATCGGTTCTGTATGCACATTCACCGCAAAGAACATTAATTATGAACTATAGTCAACGTAAATTATGAAGTTGTTACATTTTATTCTTGAACTACTTGCAATTTGTATTCGAGTGTAACGATGTTCCCTGTGGAAATAACAAAGCTTATATTAACCGTGTGCCGTAAGCACGGTGCACTGAGAAAGTTATTCACTGCATACAGGATTGTACCGACATCATTTTACTCCTAGGGGAAGTTAAAACTTCAGTGTTAATCAGGAAAGTAAAAGTATTTCAGAATCTGGGAGTTTTGAGTTTCAGAGAAAAGGGAATTTACGGAGGATAAGTTATGGATTTATTGAGGTGGAACCAAATTGTTGGTACATTGTGAGAGCAATGAATTGAAAAAGTATTCTTCATTTTGTTAGTATGTTAGTAAGTGTGTGATTTTTTAAATTTTATTTCATAACAGTTCACCTCGTTTGATTAAGCTGAAAGTTTTCGCACTCGTTTTGTTTTCGGGTTTTCGTGTAACAATTTTATTCTGACTTTTAAATCCAATGTAGTGGTTGCTGCAAATTGGTGATATAAGACTCTTTCAATATGTACCATTATCACAAGGCAATTTTGAGCCATTTGTCTATTTGATGATGATGCATTGGTATGATTGATTTAAAATGACGTCTCGATGTTCATCATATTCACTTATCATAAATCCCTTTCAGCACTATTCAATCAAGTAGTTTGACATTAAATCATATAGATATAGAAATAAAATACTTTGTCTAATTTCCACTTACTTAATGTATTGATATTAATACGACAAAGGTTTCGGTTTTTACACCATTCTCAAGTATTCCAACACTACTGACCTAAGAGAAATATTGGAGTATATTTATCCGAGAGTAGGTAATAAGATATATACCTACATTCATTAATACCAACTACATAACCTTCAAACTGTGATTAATTGTGTTGACATCTTTATAAATTCAAAAGTTGAGACCTATACAAATCTGTTTGTTCGTTAAGGGTTCTATATTTTGAGTTTTCAATTGTGGTTTGTTACTTGTAGATGTTAGTACATAGATTTTTTTGTGAACACGTCGGTGTAAACGAAAAATATGGAAAAAATAAAGCAGAGTGATTCAATTTCTTCAGACGTCTTCATTGAAGGGGAGAAAGTAAGACAAAGACTTATAGTAGCCAGATCAGTATTCAAAACAAAGAAAGACATACATACATATTATGAATATTCTGGAAACAGACCTAATGATTCAGCGTAAGACAATTTTGTCATCCGAGTACATTCACTTATCTCCTCTTTCCGTTTCAGACTCGTGGTTTCTTGTGGGCTTCTTCAACCGGAACGTTCCGGTTGAAGAGGAAGCTATACGAAGACGAGGACTTGGAAGATAGAACGAACTTACCTATAGAAGTTATTATGGAATTACTAGGATGCTATGTACGAAACTGTCATTTCCAATTGAAGGACGAATTCTTTACAAGATAAGGGACAGCCAATGGGATCGCCACTTTCACCAGTTATAGCCAACATATATATGGAATGGTTTGAAACTCTGGCCACTGAATAAACTCACAAGAAACCCCAAGTCTGGTTGAGATACGTCGACGACACCTTCATAATATGGAACCATGAGAATACTGAACTAGACGCCTTCGTGAAAGACATCTACAGCGTAAGACCTTCCATCACTTTCACAATGGAGAAGTAAGTCCACAACGAATTGTCATTCTTAGACGTATTGGTGAAGAGGACCGACAATAAATGGAAAACATATGTATACTGAAAACCCACTCACACAGGACAGTATCTGAAACACGAATCCAACCACCATCAATCGACTAAAAGAGGAATCATCAAGACTCTATTCGTGCTTTTGGGCTCTGTAATACGAAGGAATGTTTCGAGAAGGAACTTGACATCATCAAAAATGATTTTCAACGGAATGGCTACTCCAAAGCGATGGTGGAACAGACTTTGTCTAAAAGACAGCAAGAGCCTCGCAAGGAAGAGAAGTTGTCACAACCAGTGCTTGCACTTCCCTACATCAGAGGATTATCGGAAAGGATAAGAAGAATTGGGTCCAAGTACATTAGAATCTTCTCCAGATTCGGAAACACTATCTGTAGCAGCGTCATAAAAACCAGGCCACCGATTGCGGACTGCGATTCCAAGAATTGCATTCAAGGGACGAAATTCAAAGAAGCCGCATTCATGTTGTCCAACAATGTATTCAGCCAAATAGCATAAAGATACGCAACATAGGGAAATCCATAATCAAGCGAAAAACCTTCCACGAATCCGGTGAAGCGGAAAGAGGAGATAAGTGAAAGTACTCGAATGACCCATAAATAGTCATCTCTCGGAAGAATTAGTCCAGTCATCACCCGAAGACGATTGTGGATACTAACAATGGAAACGTCGTGAAGTAACTTGGCTTGGAAATTTTTTTGGTTTTTTATTTTTTGTTCAATTGTTCTATTTTTTTCAATTGTATATTATTTCACTATAATTTCATTTGAGTTCTTATTTCTGCTTAATATAATTGTTATTTTCAGTTATTCTTTTTAATTTTTAATTTGTATTGGTTCTTTTAGGGATTTCACATCATTTATAATATTAGACAATGAAAGTCCGAACTAATGAAATTCATCATGAAACATTCTCAATCACCTTCAAACAAAAATGATATTTGCCTGGTTTATATTTCTAATTATTGTGTGAGACAACAGGCTGTCTGGAATGGGACCTTTATCGCTTTATTCATATTTTACGATTAGTAAACTTTCAAAGGCTCCTAAAAACCTGTTATCATGTATCGTTCTCAACACCTTCAAATGTTTTTCACTTATTCTGTAGTCATTCTCTAAGGCATATTTAGCGACACTAGACTTCTCTGGTCTACGAAACCCAATGTGAAATATGTTACTTGAAATGAGTTATTATAGTTTGCCTACTTTGACCTACATACTTGTCCCAATTTTCAACTTTTTTCGCGAATCTCAGACCTTTCCTTTTCTCCTACCCTGTCTTTCCGGTTGTCTAAAACTTGTTGGAGTGTACGAGCAGTTTTAAAGGACACTTTAATATACAATTTTTCAAAACGTCATGTTGAGTGACATGTGCACATATTTCACATATTCGGTTTCACAGACCAGAGAAGTGTTGTGTCGCTGAATATGCCTCAGAGCCACAGAATAACAGACGAATTGAATTGAAATTGTTGAGTCCGGTACATGACAACAGGATTTTAGACGCTTTTGAAAGTTTGGAATTAAAAAAAAAACGTAGAATTGAGATTTATGAACAGCGATGAAGGTCCCGTTGATTACCCTCTTATATTATAATTAGAAATAAAACCCGGTAAACATTAGGTATATAACCAGTAGTCACTAAAACATACATTTATATGGGGTCCGAGACACTCGGCCATTTCAGGTATCACAGACAGTGAAAGAGCTGATGGGTGTGTCAGATACGGAAACACTAGGGAACACACACAGAAAAACCGAAAAGAGAACTGAAGGATTGCTTCAAAGCAGGCTACTCACTGGACACTGTCCTTCGAAAGGGGATCTGAACAAAACAGTGCTGTACAACGAAGACAGTTGAGACAAATGGAGAGGTACAGCTCGTCATTTTTCATGCGAATATGAGGCATTGGATCACAGGGGGCAAACAATTTATGGACAACCTAAATTATGTTGAAAATAATGTGACATGTATCCAGGAAGAGCCCTGTACAAACTAGTACAGGGCACAAGATTGTTGGAGTGAGTGTCTTGAAAAAGATGGGAGAAAAACGCAATAAATCCTTGAGGCTGCGGCGTTTTCTGGATACTTGGGAGAAACAGTAAAGTCAGAGGACTCCAAAGTAATGGAAAAAACCAATAAATTAGGAATTAATATATTGTTACTAATCACCTTTTTTTATTTAGAGTAAGAAAGCAGTACCTGTGCCCAGTTGGAATGACTAGCTTTTGATTCGCAGAGGCAAGGGCGCAGGTCAGTTCTTGATTTTTTTATTGATTTTTATAATTCAATTATAAGCATTGAAAGGTTAGCAAATTGAAAGCCCTTATTCAGACGCCATCTACAGAAGAAATACTTTTCAACACCTGTCACTGTAGACTAACTTATTTACACCGGGATAGGAGACACTTTAAGCATACCAATAAAACAAGGAATACAGTTTATTCGTGAGTTTCAATAGGGTTTTGCATCCCTAACGGTCAAATAAATGAAGGAATAAAGAAATAATACATAATCAATATTGTATAAAGAAATCAGAATATCAATATTTTGAATTTGTCTACTCTTTTCAATGGTTGCTTCATTAGGATAAGTAACAGAATACAGGGTCTTACCCTAGGGTTTAATGCACTAAACCTTATAACTTCTGATCAAAATCCTATTTCCAGAAACCATCAAGGAAACTCGAGGCTTTTGTTTCACACTCCTCCAACTAGACTCATCTGATTCTTGAGATCCGACACTCCAGCAGTCTCCAGTAGTAGCCATTTCGAACCTATGTGTTACACCCGTGGGTTGGGATACCTATCGGGCGCGTCCCCAGATGGCGGATAGGAGAACGGCCAGGGGACTGGGGGACCTGTCCGGGAAGCCAATGAGGCCTTTCGGACGGGGTCGTCGGACTCCTGGTCAGTGGCAGAAATAAGTAGGGTGAGGGAAACTAAGACCCCCACGAAAGCCTTTGCGAAACATGCCACCGTGGACCAGCCTACCCAAGCTAAGGTGTAAGGAATCGTACCGACAGCTGAATGGCCCCAGGGTGATATGCTGCTACGGACGACCCCCTTGGGGAACCGGGTTAAATCTCATTGTAATCAGCCTTCTCCTGGTAATGCGGGGCTCTGCCAGAGGTGACCAATTCTTCCCTTGCTACTCGTGGGAACACACATGAATGTAACAAACACAAAAACAAAAATAGATACAACAAAAACCAATCCCGAGGCTGGACAGAAGTGCTCACCTCAATCTATGGCGGTGGCTGGGGATGAACAGAAATGTCCACCCCCAATCTATCGCTCGAAATGAGGCTGGCAGATCACCTCGTGATCTAATACAAAGGCCAAGGCCAAAGGCCAGGAATGGCAGCAAGTATTTAGTGCACCCTCATCTTCCCCCTTCCACCTTTAACAGTAAGGGCACTTCATGCGGCGGGCGCCAAGAGCTCATCCTTGAATAAAGACAAGGAACCGGATACCCCCTTAGGAAAGGGCCCTCACTTGATCACCTCCACAGAGGGAACCCCAAGAAGGTTGAAGAAGCCGCGCAACGACATGTCGCTGCGCCTTCCAAAACCTTAGCGGAGGCCGCCGTGAGACACCTCAAGGTTGCCATCATAGATTAGACTAACCCGTACGGTAAGGTTACCGCAAAACGGGAGAGTCTCATCAAAAATCAACTGCTGGAGTTGCTGGACAAGATCATCTTCTCAGCCTCCAGCAGCAACAGTAAACCGCCCACGTTCAAATCGTGGACATACTTCGGTGAAATTATCAGAGTGAACTGCTATGACGACGTGACGCTAGAGTGGTTGAAAAAAGCCACAATGAATATTAAGCCGTGGGGAGGCATCACTTGCGGTCGTCAGTGTGGATAAGTTCTCAAAGCCTCGCTCTGAATCCAGGAGAACGTCCACAAGACCACACCCGGTGAAAAAGAGAGGGTGCTGTGTCGGCTGAAGGTGCGGAACCCTGACCTGATGGTAGCAAGATGGAGTATTTTCCACCATGAGGTGAAGGTGAACCCACAAGGACACCTCTTTTTCTTCGGGGTCGGACACGATGATATGCCTGTCCTCAAGAAGTCGATGAGGATAAGCTACGTGTTTACCTCATTGACTATAAGGGCAACAAGGAAAGAAGCATAGGGGTAGAACCTGGGTCCTTGAAAGTCGAGCCACTTGAAGTGGATATTGACCCCAAGACCACCATGGGTCTCGAAAAGGAAGTCGAAGCATCTGAACAGATGACACTTGATGACGTCTCCCCCCTAGCGGGGGAGCAGATGGACCTCTAAAGTAACTTCAAATCCAACAACTGTCTCATGGGCAAGGACTTTGGAAAAAAGATAAAATATAATACAATGCAATCTCCAACACAAAAAGGCGGCAACGGCAAAACTATGTCGCCACCTTGATGTATTGGAGGAAGCAATATTTTTGATCCAGGAGCCCTGGATAATAAAGACCAAAATTACTGGTTTCAGTAGCCTAACTGGTAAAATTTTCAGCTTACCAAGCAATCAGCAGATTAGGACACCTGTTTACGTTCCTAGGAATTACAGAGCCTTTCCGATGGCACAATTCAGCACCTCAGACCTTACTGTGGTTGAAGTGGAATGTCCAGATGGAAAAGGCGTTGATACTCGCATCGGTGTACCTCCCTTCAGGTGCAGCCACCTTACCACCGACCAGAGAAATGGAGGTACTAGTGGATCACTGCCTCAACCAGAGAGTGGAGTTTATATTGGGTTGCGACTCAAACTCTCACCACTGGAGCTGGGGCAGCAAGGATATCAACGCCCGAGGTATGTCCCTATATGAATTAATAATTAAGAAAGATCTAACAATCTTAAACATAGACACGGAGCCGACATTTATTAACGCCCGTAGCCAAACATTAATAGACATCATGCTGACGACAGCCAAAATATCAAACAAAATTCAGGACTGGCAAGACCACCGCTGGTTGACCTATACGGTAAGCCAGAATCTCAGGACCACTGTACCTTTCCAAAACAAGTACACAGTACCTTTCCAAAAGAAATTAGACATTGCCTATAAAGAATTCTGTCCGATATGGATGATTCAAACAGATGGCACAACCACTACATAGTGATGCGCTGAACTGGAACACCTCAGGAAGACGGCGAGGACGCCAACCTCCAAGAGAGCGCTGAGATTCTTATAGAAACTCACTTCCCAGGTTCTGTCTTACCTGAAACGACGAACTGGACGGAAGTACCAACAACACCCTCACAATTCGACTGGCAATCTGCTAGTACAGTCATTGATGAGGACAAGATAAGATGGGCCATATCGGGCTTTTTCCTCTTCAAGTCACCAGGACCTGACGGTATAAGACCAGCCCTACTTCAATGGGGAATTGATATTCTTATGCAGCACCTGGCTGGTGCGGCATGGGGTCTTTCACCCCGTGTGGTCCAGGTGACCACACGGGGTGAAAGACCCCATGTGGTCACCTGGATCTACACTGTCCCCATTGCATGCGTACAGAAAGTTGTACAAGCAACGGCCATCCAAAAATTATATCAAATACAGCGATTGACTTGTTTAAACACCAACCGCGGCAATGGAATTAATTACTGGTCTGACCCCTCTGGACCTGTACGTTAAGGAGGTTGCGTTAATGGTCATGTTACGATTGCGCACAGCTGGTGTGAACCTCGAAGTAGGAATGGGTCAATTGAGGTTAAACCTCTGCTGCAGGAAGTCAGTGATGCAACTGAACCCAAGTTTGTGTTTAATAAACCATACAAAATACAAATAAAACAGAACACAGTCAGATGCTACAAATGAAATACGCATATATACAGACGGCTCAAAAACTAAAGAAGTCTCAGGATGTGGAGTTTACTGCACATCACTAAGCCTAAGGATTAAGTGAGGAATGGGAAAAAATACCAGCGTAGTTCAAACAGAACTGGCTGGTATCTCAATCACCACAAAAGAAATAACCAGGAAAGGAATTTCTGACAAAACATAATCTGCACTGATAGTAGACAAGCCCTATCAGCCTTGAGCAAAGGTGTTACCTCAGGGCTAGTACTTCAGTGCCACTAAGATTTAGCCAAAGCCTTGGTGGGTAATAACATCATCCTGAGGTGGGTTAGAGGGCACGACAGGAGTAAAGGTAATCGCCTTGCCGACTCTTTAACCAAGGAAGCGGCTGGACTAAGAATTTTAGGACTCAGTGACACCTACGGCCTGATGACTTCAACAATTGCGGAACTAGCCAAACGTCACACCCATGCTCAAGGATCACCCTGGGCGACCCTGGGAAGCTGGCGCCGAAGAAATATCTGGCGACGACCAGAAAAACCTACGCTCAACAGTAGGATTTCTGACTGGCAGAGTTTTCAATTTTTCAATGTCCTCGTGTCCAATTTATTCCTGTTTTTCAGCTGTTTTAAAACTTTTAGCACAATACTAGGAATTCATCTGTTGAACCTCCTTTAATGACCCACATATTTCATGGGTTAATTATGTATATGAATAGACCTATCTCAGAAAATCAGTTAGTAAAACGTAGAAGTATTTGAATCTGACGTCAACATTCAAATTGTTATCATACGAAACAAATTGTAATAAGTTAATTACATGTCCACTCAATGAGTTGGTTGAATTTTATTTTATAATGTTCAAAATTTAAAATTACGTCTGCTGAGAATAGTATTAACTTTTCCAAATTGTTTTTTCTGGGGAAAAGCATAGGTTTTATTTTTGTGATAATTGTTTTAACAATGAATTTCTAGTCTGCCAAATCTTTTTCGTGGAGTATGAATTACTATCGATTACAGCAGTAAGTAACGTTCCAGCAACCAGAGACTTCATTTCACCTTTGAAATGTCGCCGTAATTTCCAGATAATGTATCGTCGTTTGAATAACCTCAGAATAATTCCAAATTGGTTAGTTGCTTGATAAACAGTGACAATTCCTGGAAATTTCCGCCGAAATATAAAAAGTTATTCCATCCATCGTCTTTCCTGGAACTTCTCAGTTCCAACTGCATCACTTGTAGATAGAGTAGCTTGGATGACATTTTTTAAAACATTAGTAATATTCAATGTCAAATTTACAAACTTTTTTCTACCAACCAACTTTTGAACATAACATCCACATAAAAAAAATATTTCAATGGTATTTAGATCAATAGCAAAACGAAATATTGCAAAACTAATCAACAGTTAGAATATTAGAGGGCCTAAAACAGATTTCTCAGGGACGTTTTTTTACAAAATATATTCTTTTGTTTATACAAAACAGAGTTTTAACAAACGCAAATAGCTGAGCTGCCAGAGACTAAGTAAACACTGAACATATCCAATAATTTTATCATACTTCTGAATAGATAAAATCAAATCACCTAAATAGCTGAGCTTTTCCAAGATGAACTCGGTATTTAAGCAGTCAGTTGAAAGCTCTAGTGAAGATGCATATGGGAGTTACAAAATACTGACCGTTGTCAAAACAAAAAATATACCAAATTCAGTAAATAATAGCAGGCTGTTTCCACAGATTTTTTCTAATGCTGGGACGTTGTTATCAAACATATTGACAGGTTTTATTGAGGTATATGAAATGATTAGTACTTACTATTCCTTTTATGATTTCATCCTTCATGTCAACCCTTTGGACCCTCAGAATATGATAGCAAAAGTCAAGAGCTTCGAATCTTCGCTGTTGCCCAAGGAGTACAATCATAGTACATCCTGCCCAATGGAGCCCTTCTCCAAACATCTCTCTGCAAAAGTTCAATATGAATAAACCGAAAACGTATCCTTGCAACATAACTTACTCAACCGTGTATTCATTTTCACTAACTGGAATGCAATAAACAAATTGTAAAGCCGACCACAAACGATGGAATTCAGTACATTCATCTACGTTCATAACGCCATTCGTAGGCGGTGGACCTACCCACACAGGATCATCTAGGAAACTCCTTAACCTATTCAAAACTACTTCGAAAATCGAAAGTCCGCAGCAAAGTCTTTCTCTGGTGAGCAAATCACCTTCGCGGGATATCATTGCCTGTTTTGCAGTACCCAGCTTTTCTATATTCGGGACAATTTGCAAAGCTTGGTATTTGGCTTCAAGACGTTTCTGTTTATTTTCTAACTTTTCACCCTCTGTAACAAATTTGGTAAATTTATTTATCAAATAAGCCATAACTCAGCATTAACCTTTACAATAAGGACGGGGCAGAATATTTTGGAATGGAGCTGCTTGCAAAAGATCACAGACTTCTTCCTGAGACAGAGCTTGTTCCATCAAAAGGCAAAACAATATTATATTTCCAAATTCCCTGAAATTGTGGAACAATTCCGTCCGTGCATCAGGATATTGAACAATGTCGTTAAGCTGGGCATGATAGTAGCCTAATACTCCAGGCGATCCATAGTCATATCTTGGAAGTTTACAAATCTTTGGCATTGCTTCCATAAGCGTTTTAGTGAACTGAAGTAGACTTCCTTGAATGAGGCTCTTAACAATTTTCAGCAATTCTTCCATGACTACTGCAATACCTTGGTACCCCAATAGCTTGCACATTGTATGGAAATGTTGAGGCCCAACAAAACCTGTGTATATTAATGAAATTAGTGTCAGGGACTTTAATTATCTCGAAGATATAAAAACAATGGGTTCAGATTTATAATAGGTTTCATCACTTATGCTCATGTACTGATTGGAATAGTGTGTTGTTAGTAGAGACACCGTTCGAGGTATTCTATAGAATACTTGTTGAACATTTTGAGACCGCGTTTCCCAAACAAAAAAAAAAAACGGAAACATTGGATCACTAAGGGAATACGAACTTCTTCAAAAAATATAAGATCTCTTCATCAAATCAGAAAGTTTACTGATAGTTTATTTTTTGACTGTTACTTCAATAATTATAGGAAAGTCTATAGAAAGGTAATCAGGGTTGCAAAAAACTTGTACTATAGTAACAGAATCACGGAAGCTGACAACAAAGCTAAAGAAAGCTGGTCAATAATCAACGAACTCAGAGGAAAAAATATGTATACAAACACAACAGATACTGCTCCGTTGCGCAACAAAACTCAGTCAAAACATTGTACCTACTCACGATCCCTTAGAATATCTCAGTGATATCTATGTAGACAGTACCTTTTCATTACACGACATCAGTATAAATGAATTGAAAGAAGTGATAGGAAACATAAAAAATAAGAAAGCATCTGGCTTTGATGAAAATCCTATTGAAATTCACGAAAATCTTCCTGAAACTGCGCTCAATATACTTGTTGAACTGATTAACAACTCCTTCGAGCAAGGAACATTTCCTTCAATTCTCAAAACCTCAGTTGTTATTCCTCTCCATAAAGGCGGCAACAATGAAGATCCAGCAAACTTTAGGCCTATATCGCTCATCCCAACCTTAGCAAAAATAATTGAAAAACTGTTAAAAAAAAAAGAATAATGGAATTTTTGACCAGTAATGGGATATTGAGTACACATTAGTATGGCTTTCAGAATTTTAAGACTACAAGTGAAGCTATATCAACAGTTCTGCAATTGGTGTATAATGAAATCAACAGCGGGGAAGCCACTACAGCAGTGCTTTGTGACTTATCCAAAGCTTGTGACTGTGTCAATCACAGCATATTGCTTCGGAAACTCATGAGATATGGTTTTAGGGACAACAGTCATATTTGGATTAGTTCATACCTTTCTGACAGAAAACAATTTGTAAGAACGTCATCTAACTCGGACGTGGGAGAGATACATTGTGGAGTACCTTAAGGCTCTGTGTTAGGTCCTATACTGTTTCTGTTATACATTAATGATTTGACCAACATATCAATTACAGGAAGCTTTACCTTATTAATAATAATAAAAATATTTATTCGTTCATAACGATCATAACATGATGACATAGAACAAGTCAATAATAAAAATAAAAAATAAATATGATAGATAAAATAAAATAAAATCTAA